ATCGGTCAAATCTGGGCCGCCGTGTTGCGCGAATCGAGTAATCTTGGGAGTGATATCGCGAGCAGACTTGCGCAGGAGAACCTGTGCGGGATGTGTCGGACGCGGGGGAAATGAAGGCCTGATGCTATTCCGCCGGTCCAGTTCCTCCAAGGCGGCTTGCTCCAGCGGGACTGTCGACAGTCGGTCCCAGAATTCGGGCGGATATCGCCAAGTGAAAAGATAATCGTCGGGATCTCTGTCGTCCTGTCGTCTCTTCTTCGATGGTAGGTCTCGCGAGAACTCGTCGGCGTGTCGTCTTTTTCCGTTCTGCGGTGTCGCCATGACTGGCCATCAGCGCAGACTGGGGATTAAGAGAAAGGAACATTTGCGGGGTATTTAGGTCTGAGAAGGCCTTCGAGAACAGCCTGACTGCCGTGGGAACGATTGGGTAGGAGTAATTGGGTAGGGGCGCGCAACGGATGCGCGTTTGATCCGGGTTGATGTCGGCCAACCTTTAGCCGCCAATGTCAAAGAAGGACTGGGGTGGGTGGTGGTCAGCTCGGAGGAGAATTTCCCCGCGCGCGATTTGCAAGTTGGAGGATACCCGCAGCCAATGAACCTGCCACACGGCGGCAACTCCTTGAGCAAGTAAAGGATGCAGGTGCTCCGAAAAAAAAAAACCCCTAGCATACTTTGGTACGGCTGCACGACAAGCGCACTTCTAACATGAACCGGAATAAGAGCGCAAAATAAATGTACAAGAAGAGGCGGACTAGGGCCGCCTAACGAACGGCGCTGTCGAATACGCGGGCGGCGCGGAGGGTTTGGTGGCGGGAATTTTGTGCAATTGCGAAACAGAAACACTGGTCGTAGGATGGAGTGCGGTGTCGGCAGTGGCGCAATAACCGCAGCAACAACGTGGCTTGAGCCAAAAATCAATCGACCCACGAGCCAAAGCCGCGCAACTTCTGCGTTTCCGCAATTCAGGGATACCCGCACGCGCATGCTGGGGTTCCACTTTCGTAGCCATGCCCTCGAAGTTCCTCCACAAGGGCCGATCCGCTGCTGGGATCCGACATCGACGTCCATTGAAGGGCGGCTGCCAGCGCCGCGTCATCGCGATCCGTGGCGACCAGGACACCGCGCTGAAGAAAGTCGAGGACGAATTCTACGCCAACGCCGCTGGCATGACGGCGTTAGCCTCTTCGCCTCTTCGTCGCGGGCAAGGCTGACGAGCTCCCGCACCGCCTGTGGCACCTCTCCGACCGCACCAACAACACCCTGCGCTGACGCGCCAAACGTCAGCGCCGGCTGGCTCGCTACGGCCAGGGCGCCGTCCAATGCGGCGACGAGATCGAAACCTCGCGCGCGTTGTCAACGCCCAGGTTACCGTCGTTTTAAACATTTTGGAGAAGGACAAGGTGCCGAAGCTGAAGGAGAATTTGAGGTCGCGGACCTGTAAAAATTGGAGGCGGCAGCACAACAGCCCGCAAAGGAGGGCTGAATACGCGAAGCGATACCCGGAGGAACCAGAGGAGGCAGAGCCCAATTAAGAAGAGCTGGGAAAGTCGGGAATACCAGGACAATACGAAAGACCAGTGGGCGACACGATGACGTAACCCGACTGCATGAGCTCACAGTCAAGGGTTTAACGACTGGTGGGAATGGGTGCTGTCGTTTCTAGTCGACGGGCCAGCTCATCACCCTCCTAACCAGCAAGGTCAAACGATACGTCTTCGATCGGGACACAGACGAACGGG